ACAAACTTTCATTTTCATCACTCTGGTAACAGGAAGGAATAAATGTAGATCCTTCAATTTAATTACTCTCTTGTATTCTTTATCAACCAATTTCATTTTATTTTATTCATTTTCAACGACTAAATAGGCCCTCAAGAGAATCAAACACACCTAATTCGTGTGTCTCTAGTTTCTCTCTACGCGCGCGCATACACGTATTCTCTCTAATCATATTTACAAATTAGAGATAATAATTTTTTTATCTTATTTGTAATTAGTCATCCCATTAAATTTGTATCATAAGTTTTTTTATCTATTATTAAATGATGGAAAAAGAAAGTACATTGTTCAACTATCTATATTTAATAAGAGTAAAATTAAAAAATTTATTAAAATTTTAAACAAAACTAATTAATTTTAAAGTTTTTTTTAGTTACAGTAAAATTTATTTAAAGTAATTTATGAATAGGATTGAAGAGAATATATATGATGCGAGAGAACTGCCAAATGAATACAACATGTGTATTTGAAGCTGCATGTGACTAGACACTATTCCTCTTGCCAAGGCAAATTAAACCCAACTTCTTGTTTCTCTTTACAAGTTGAGTTGTGAGTATATGACAATCGTAGATTAGAATAGTCCAGGCTCTCTCATGTCCAGACCCGAAGAAGTGGGCACATTCTTTTATAATATTATATATATGCATTACAGTACGTGTACTGATGGACCACCTTGATGCTTACTTTTCATGTGCCACAACGAGCTATAATCAATGTAGCTAGCTAGCTCCAAGGTTCATTAATACACAGTTGCAATACTTATTAAGCCCTGCAAAACAGCCAAAGACATGTTTGCTTTCTACTTTAATTTGATGAAGCATGAGTGTGTGAATCTAATTAAAGCCCTAGCTAGCTGCTAGTTTCTTTTTGCTGCACTAGCTCCCATTGTACCCACTCTTTTGTTTTATTGAACTAAGCTGATTTAATTTTTCTGCATGATAAATCCAACAGCTATCACTGTGCCCAACAGTAGTAATGCTCTCTCAGCTTTTTCAAATAACTTGGTGCTGTCCTCAATAAAATTTATAAAATACAGTTTTCAAACTTAATTTTTTTATAAACTTTCAGAGAGGAAAACAATTTTGTTTAATGAGTAAAATAATGAGGGGTAATATTAAAATAATAATCATTAATGAAATTTTATTATTTAAAAATATCTTATATTTTGAGATATTAAATTACCTCAAAAACATTTAATAAAATGAGATTGAGGGAGTGTTACATACATACATACATATTACATTCCTTTTCCAAGCATAACCAAACCACTCTCCTCGCGACCTCATACACGCCTACAGTGAGCATCTTGATTATATGCAATATCGAATTTGAATATTCAGGCCAAGTTTAATAGTTTTATAAAATATTAAAACATTTAAAAAATAACTTAATTAATATAAACAGTTAAAATTTAGTCTAAACAATCTAACACTGTAATTTTTTTTAGAAATAACAGTGAGAAGCTAAAATGAACACAAACTAAATGGATTGATAACAATTTGAAACTCGTATATACTTTATTTCTTAATTAATTTGACAAAACGTGAGTTCGATTTGATGTTTGGAATTCTTTTTGTGTCACTTGCCTATAGGGTTTACAATTATAATTATTAGGATAAAACTTTGGTGCATAACTTAGATGCTTAGTAAATTTTTCCAATAAGTTCAGAATTTAAACTGAGAGTTATTTTTTGAACAGCCTTAATTGATTGACTGAAAAACATTTTTCAGGTATATAAGTTTAAGAAACTAAGTTTTTATTAATTACTAACCTCGTGTAATACTTGAATTTAAAAAACAAACAAATGTATATATGCCATCAAAATTTTTAAAAGAGTAAAATTTTAAAAAATATTTTCTTACTACTGATGAGATAATTATGAGCAATATTTTAAGGTACCAAATTGATTATCATTTGTTCCAGATATCAATAGTTTTTCTCTCATGATCTTCTTGGTCTTGGGTTGTGGGTGCATGCACATACTGGATCAGACGAGGTAGAAAAGCTTGACGAATTAAACGACGACTATCAATAATTACAATACCATCATTTTTAAAATATTTTTCGAAAATTATTTTAATATGTTCAAGCGGGATCCATTCAAGGTGTTCGCAGAAGATAATGAATGACAGCGACTGGCTTTCATGTGTTCAATGTTTGACTAAACTTTGCTAAATGATAGTAATAATATATATTCCAATTTCACCTACTCAGATCAGAACATGTCATGTGGGAAATATAAGAAACTTAATTAATATTCAGAGTAATTGATTAACTAATTACTCTTACTCTTCCATATGACCACTTTGTTTATCAGTAATTTAATTTCCATTCAGCCTAATATAAATATTCATGATTTTTTTTTAAAAAAAAGCACCATAAAGTACTACTCCTTACTGTTTTATTTTATTCATAAGCCAATTCCAAAATATTTAACTGAAATTAAAGAAAATCTTAAAATTTATTAAGTCAATCTAAACATTTTAGAAATTTTGAACTGTCCTGTTAAATTATATTTGAATAAGGTATTTTTTAAAGAATTAATGAGTGTGAAATAAAAAACTTGAGATAAAAAATTTAATAACACTATTTATAAATAGAATCAACAAAGTTTTTATCTCTATCTTATAAATATGACTGAAGGAAATATACAAATGGAGTACATATGCATGATTAATGAGATTTTTTGCTATTTTTTTAATGGGAGTGATTTCATAAATTAGGCTTTGAATAAGAATATATATCTGATTCATAAAATCAATTAAGAATTAATCACTTGGTTTCTTGGGACCATTATTGAAGGTACCTGCAATCTTCCCTGAAGGCTACTTTAACATGTTCTACTATAAAGGTTGGCATTGTCTGGCATTACGCTTGAATATATCAATATATAAATATAAATACTCTGCCAATTGTACTCACTTAAATATAAAAGAAAAGAATAAATTGAAGACCTAAAGGTCAACCACGTGCAGGAATCACCATAATAATTATATCATATTGATAAGTTATACAACTTGTTACACGCACCCACACCCAACTTTCAACTCTCTTTTTTCTTAATCCTCCATGTTTTTAAATATTTATAATTTATAATTTATCTGATGAAAATTGAAACACGTCTCGTGAAAATGCATCATTTTTGTGTTCTTAATTATATGCAACAATATATATATATATATAATATTTAAAAAAAACATTAAGCCATTATTTGTAGGTCCCCCTTATTTTGCATGGGATCTAATGTTAAACCTTTTACTCAGAAATGCAGCAAAGAAAAATTTAAAAAAAAAATCACCCACCTGGATAATGTACATATGGCTGTAATTCAATTATTAGCGCATACCTGTTGTGATTTTTTTTAAATTTTGTAGAGGAAAAAAGAAAAAAACTTCCAAAAATAAGACCAGCAGGGCAAGGAAGGCAAAGAAAAGACACAAGTATAACAACTTAAAAATAAAAATAACATCTCGATGCAGGTAGAAAACAAAAATAGTTGAAAGAAGTAATTTTAGTTGTACTAGTATGACACAAAAAAAAAAAGGACGATTCTAATTTTGATACGTTTTTCTGTTTTTGTCTCTCTGTAGTTTTTGTTTGCTTTGAAATTAACGCGAGGAAAAAATTGGCGATCAATTGATTTGAGTAGTAACTTGAAAATTACAGCGATATTTCTCGGGGCCGGGCAACGTTTTCCACTTTAATAATTCTCGATTATGATCCAACAATTATATATTGCAAATGATCTCTCTATTTCCATTACTGCTGTGAAAGTTATACTGTGAAAGTTCTGGAGAAAATCTCGGGTTGAAGGAAGGGCATGTTTGATTCTGAAACGATAACAAAAACCATTGTTAAAACAGGTAATCATTTGATAATTTGTCTCAGAATTATATATCTAACTATGAAATTTTGAACTAGAATTGTAGTTTAACTCTGGTCTGAATCAAGTTGTTTGGATTGTTAGGCAAATTTACATCCATGATAACGAACCTATTCATGTAGCAGCCTATCTGACCCTAATGAACTGATCGATGGGATTCACTGAAATAGTATTTTTTTTTATATATAATTTTTAGTATTAGGATAATTATCTGAATTCATGGCACAGAGAGAGATGAATGCAGTTCGGCGCCCTTACGGGATCAACAAGGATAAGCTTCATTTTTTTTTTTTAACTGATCTCTTGTTTTTCTTATACCCCTCCACTTAAATTAATTTTACAATTCACTTACAAGAAAACGGATCACTGTATTAGATGTAAAAAAATCTTGAATTTAATAATATATATATATATATAAAAGCGAAATGACCTGTAAATTTAAATATCAAGATTTGTTGTTTTGCGTGTGAAGATGAAGGAAGGAATGGAAGAGAGACGTGCGAGTATTTTCATTCGGCTTGGGCGTCTTGCTTTGCTTGGGTTTCCTTTCCAGAATTTCCATGTTGGATGTGGGGACCACCCATGAATGCCCCCACAAAAGTTCCCCCCGTAACCAAACAAATTAAATACAACTCTCTCGTGCCCCCAATACCCTCCTGCACCACTCTACTCCCACCATAGCTAGCTACCCCTATATAAATACGCCCCTCAAATACTATTACATCATTATTTTTATTTCAATCTATATTACTCCCTTCCCATATAAAAAATAAATATATATTTAAGGTATGAATTTTACATGTATAAGATTTTATACAGTAAATATATAGCTATAAAAAATAATATTATTATTACAGGTATCAAAAGCAGGGAGGGATTGATTGTGGGGAATAAATGGGACATTTTGGCTTGTCAAAATGGAGGCACACACACACACATATTGTTCAGACTATTATCCCCCCAAATATATATATATATATATATATGATGAAAACGACAAGTTGCTCACATGACCCTCAAAAACTCACATTATCCATCGGACGGCCCCCCACCCTCCTCCTCTCCCCCTTCCCTCTCTCAGGAGAATAAAACTGGGTTTGCTACAATTTTTTTTTTTTTGCCTTTTCTTTTCCTACTTGTAATTAAAGAACCTTCCTCTGCGTATGATGAGAGAGAGTGGGGTAATTAACTTCACCTTTCGTTAGCTTAGCCCCTCCCCACATGACCTCTTCATTAATTCCTGTTCCTACTATCCTTTCCCTTCCATTTCTATCCCCTCATGCTATAGCAGCGTAGGTCAACAATAATTTGAATCCTCCATCCCTTTTTCCCTCATTCTTCTTCTTCTTTAGGGTTTCAAGCTCCAATGACCAGCCACCGACTCTTGTGATTTCTGAATTCTCGTTTCTTTCCCCAGATCCTCTTCCCCTGGTAAGCTCTCTTTTGTCTCCTTCACCACCCCCCCCAAAAAAATCAAAATTTTCTTCATTTATTTTTTTTAACAAAAAATCTATGAATTAATCACGTTGGTTTCTGAGATCCAGAGTTAGAAAATTACTTTCAGGTGGGTGTCACGACTCTCGTGATTCATGGAATTGCTGATGCAAGATGCTAAAATGTATTCTGATGATAAAGAGGAGGACGACGACGACGAAGAAGAAGCAGAGATAGCTAGAGAAGAAAGCAGCAACAGTAAGAGTTACCTTCCTTTATCAGCAAATTACGAAACTAGTCGCCGTCTTCACCATAATCACCATAGTCCTCATCAAAATTCGTGGTTGGGGCTCCGTGATCATCACTCTCCAGATGCTGCTCCCGCCATCGAATCTCACAATTCATCGCCTGGATTAGGGTTAACATCGGCATCCGCCGCCAATTTCGCCCGCAATCACAGGAAGCTGGACCTCATGGACTTGTCACTTGGAGGAATTGGTACCGGCAAGGACGATGAAGCACAGGAAGAAGCTAATTTTCATGGAGGAGGTAGCCGCAGTAACGGTGCTGGTGCTTCTGTTGAGAAAGAGCACATGTTCGATAAAGTCGTCACTCCCAGTGACGTAGGCAAGCTCAACCGCCTCGTAATACCAAAGCAACACGCAGAGAAGTACTTCCCTCTGGATTCCTCCTCCAACGAGAAAGGACTGCTGTTGAATTTCGAGGACCGGCACGGCAAGCCATGGCGGTTCCGGTACTCCTACTGGAACAGCAGCCAGAGCTATGTGATGACCAAAGGCTGGAGCCGCTTCGTCAAGGAGAACAAGCTCGACGCCGGAGACATTGTTTCGTTCCACCGCGGCGCCAGCGAGTCTTATAGGCACCAGTTGTACATAGATTGGAGGAGAAGACCTGATCACGGACCAGGCGGCCCTGATCCCCACTTAATTACACCTTTCCTTCTTCATCCTAATCAGCCGACGACGCAGTTTTCTCAGTACTCAATTAGATGTGGCGGTCGATTATTCTCACTTCCCTCTCCGGCAGCGCCGCGACAGCTGAATCATAACAATATGTTTCTCTTATATCATCATCAACAGCAACAAGAGCGACACCACCCATGGCAGTACCAAGTCCATCATAATACGATGAATTCAAGATCTGGTTCGGCGTATTCGAACTTGATAGGGCAACAAGAAGGAAGAAATGTTCCGATGATTATAGATTCTGTTCCAGTTGATCATTACCACTCTCATCAAAGCTATTACCATGGTAAAAATAGTAATACTACTGATAATACTACTGCTGGTAAAAGACTAAGGCTATTTGGGGTGAACATGGAATGTGCTTCTTCGTCTTCGTCTTCGTCTTCTTCATCATCATTAGCGGAAGAATCCAGATGCTGTAATGTGACAGTAATGGCTAATCCATCAATTTCCTCGTCTTCTATTATCCCCCCACCTCTTCATCAGTATCTGAGGGTAGCCCATGAGGATCCAATTTCTTCGTCGTCATCGTTATCATCAGCAAGGTTTCAGAGTCATCAGAAAGGGGAAACTTTGATGCTTTTCGATTTGGATCCCTCTTGGCATTACAGGCAGTGATCAAATTGGGAATCAAATCAAACAACCAATAAAAGAATGATGATGTGGCCACAAATCTTTTGCAGCATTTTCTGTTATAAATTCTAATTTTTTATTGCCCTTGTTTAATATTTTAGTGCTTAGTATTATGGATATTAGTGCATTATTTATTTAGCTGGAGGTTTTGGATTGTTTAACTTTCAAGAGGAAAATGGATATATATATATATGAACTATGTTTAAATCTTTCAATTGTGTATAATACAGTTAATATTGAAATATATATATATATATATATATATGTAATAGTAGATGTTTAAATGTGTTTGATATATATATATATATATATAATTTTTCTCTTCTCATCTCGATCTCTTTTTTGGTTTCGAGCATTAAATGATATACAGAAAGCTAGTTACTTTTCTTCTTCTCCTCTAATGTTTCTGTTAAGCTTGTTGGGCTGATATGTCGTTTCTGCTGCTTCTGATTCTGATTCTGCTTCTTCTGTTGCTTGGTAAGGCATTGTTAGCTTTGCAGGAAAATAAAGCGCAGAAAGTTGTACAGCTGTAAAAAGGTGAATTTTTTTCCCTTCTTTGGCTTCTCTCATACCAAAATTGGTCCGACCGACTTGATTATTACTGCTTTTTAGTTAAGTTAATAATAATAATAGTAAATTCTACTGTAACTTGGTAGTTACTGGCTTACTGCTATCCTATGCTTCATTTATTGACGGGTATAGTTTCTACCCCAGAATTGACATTACTTTCCCCTCTTCTCTCCTATTGCAGCCGCCTTCATGTCTGGATTATTACTGCTCAATAACGTGTTTTAGGTAGAATAAAAGTCACCTTTTTCCACTGGTAAGCATCCTTTGCTACTATGATTCCATTACATGATTACAGTAAATTCAATGCTTTGTCTCTCTGATCGACATCATAAGTGATCCATATATGCTCAGTGGTTAAAATCAACCTTTGATTTTAGTGATTCCATATTGCATGACGTGTCATGATCAATACAATATTATAGTCTGCATCACTGTTTTTCACAGTAGTTTTAAGTTGAAAATAATTGATTATCTATATGTGTTTTTATTATCTGCCACAGTATAACTCTAATAATCATAGCTAAATCTGTTGGCTCTGGAATTATTGAAGAGATTAAATGACCCGTTGATTAATCTGTCTGTGTGTATCGGTGATTGGTGTTATCTTTTGTATCTCGTGACTTGATGTCGATTTCAAATCCAGTGGACACAAATCAGATATGTTCCGGGGGGGTTATTCATAAAAAAATTGTTTTAAATATGTAAAACTATTGTTATATATAATATTATTTTTTAATATACGTTGCATCCTATCTTAATTATAAATAGCTCGTCTGATGTTCTATCAAATTTAAAATTTCACATATAAAAAGGGGAGAATTATATCTAAAAACCTCCTAAAAGAATTATTTGTTAACAAGGACCAATTTAAAATTGTTTATTATTAAATGACAACAGAGATTTCTTTTTTTTGAATGGTAACTTATTGTTGGTTTTTATTTACAAATAATTTTTTTGAAATGTCCTTAAATATGATTCTCCCTGTAAGAAATCACCTGAACTGATGGGGATTGATGAAATCAATAAGTCTCTGGAGAGAAAGTGAAGGAAAAATATATTTCGTTTTTTATTTAGATCGATGCAGACAAGCATAAACCCTTTCTTTTTCCAATCATATTTTCCCTTTTCCCTTTTGATATATTTAGATTGGAATTTTCATTTATTCTCTTATCCTTCGTCTCTCTAAAGAGATCTTAAGAGCGCGCCCGCACACATATATTATATATTCTTGTGAAAATTTATCGTTTTGGTTTTAGACCATTTGTTGGACTGATAAGGTCCGTAGCATGATTCGTTTAGGTTAAAAAAAATTAAACCAAACCATTGAGTGTGTACTTTGAAATTGTGTGCAGTGGTCTTAGTATATGGAGTTTGGTAAAGACTAAAGAGGGTTGTCTCTACCTTTAACGGTACATTCATTGCATTTGCTTCAAGATTTTAATTAAGATACACTTTTTTCACTACCAGCATCATTTCATTTATTCACTCAATGTTATTTGGTGTAAGATATGGTCGAAAAATCGAAGTCCCTAGCTCTCACGTTTGAATATTAAAATATTAAAATCACATGTAATACTAGCTAACAAATGGACTATTCATGGCCTAAAAAGGAGAGATTAGACAGAAATTTATGTTTGACCTTGTGACGATGGAAAGCAAAAGCAATGCTGAAGACGGTAGGTTCTACAATCTACAGTAATAAAAACGAGATATACATTGTCACTTTCACTTTTCCTACATTTTGATGCTTTCTGTTATACTATTTTCTCACATTTTTGGACGAGCTAGTCCTTACTATACGGTTAAAAAATAATGCACAAAAGAGGAAAAACACTGCACTCTTTGAGGTGATCAAATTAAGATCATAAAATGATTCAAACCTAATTAATTAACCATTCAGACAACAAACGAACAAAATTACTCAGAAAATTTATCTTGACCCCCATATCCCTATATTATAATATATTTGTTGTTTTCCTTCTCAAGCATTAATTTATATTATCATTTTGTTCATATATATCTCGTGATCATATATAATACTTGCAGAAAGAAGTTAATTAGAAGAATCTCAAAGACGAAGATACAAATTAAATGACTACCTTGAAACCGTATGTCAACAATTTCTATAAACATGGCTTACTACACACACACACACACACACACACACAACATGTCGTTGGAAACTACGGTTTATATGCTCAAATACCTGCTTTTTTACATGCATATAATGGTCCAGTATAGACATCTAGCTAGAAAATTAAAGCAGTGACGACGACGACGTGTGTGTGTATACTGTTATTAGTGGCTGATTATCTTGAAGCAAACGAGTCTTTTATATTTGATTAATTGAATCACCATGGCCCGCAAGGAAAATGTTTGATACCACCTATTAATGGCAAACTTGTAGATATAGTATCTATCAATATATGTATATGATGAACAATGATTCAGTGGTATTTCGATTCGTTAATTAATTGATCAGAGTTGCACATGGGTTAATGAGATTGAATCATATCGAGGTGGATTGGATATATGTAGATCTTGCATTAAATATGTGTGCATCTATAGAACATGCATGATGCATGCATCATCTATAGCGATATGCTTCCATTAATATTCTGCCATGTTTATCTTTTGCATGAAAATTACGTAGTTTAGTTATAAGCAAGGTTGACCTTGCATGGATCCTAATATAGGCAATTAAGAACCATATATTTGTTAGCGGGAGGAGTTTGAGTGATTTAATTTTTGTAAGGTTGTAGATGAATTCGAATGTGTCGCGTGTCATGTTAAAACTATAAGCCATGCAATCTGGGATTAATGGTTCTGATGATACAGTGAAAAGATTGTCTATCATGGTTCTAGAATCTAAACATATATATAGTCTGTGAAACATATAATTGTGTGTGAAATTTATATTGTTGAACTATATATCTTACATGTCCAGTTAATTCAACAGAGCCTCAACCTCATTGACAGAACTATAGAAATTAGGGTACGAGTTCATGTTCATATAAACTACTTCGTTTACTGCCATGATTTAAACGTTTTAATTAGATGTACTCGGACGTTATGTATATGTACGTAGCAGCGATCGCCAGTTAATTTAACAATATGAAGCTTATTATTCTGTTGTACATTGTATTTGCTTTTCGATTAAAAACCTGATTGTATTGCAATTTTTATATCTTTGTAATTAGATTAAATTTTTTAATAAAAATTTCTGGCATGCAAAAAAATAAAAATAAAAACTTAATTAGACAATGTTGACTTTAAAATAACAAAAATATTACACGTAAATTTCCTCCTCAATGAATAACCCGATGTATACTGCTTCCTCAATGGGAGTTCATTTTTTTGGCTTGCATTAACGTGTTGTAAGAAACACATATCAAAACGTAATCATTTGGTTCTAATTGACTAACTAAATTTTTTCAGTGTCTTGCAAAAATACAATAAATATCTCTCCCACATGGATAGCACCGGCAGTTGAAGAGTAAGTATTTTATGTTGCACGTTATTAATCTTTCTCAGCTTAAATTAAGACATTTTGTTTCTCATAAATGCTCCTAAAAATATATCCCGAAGGAGGTGACAGAATGAGATTGTGTGTGTAAGTTGTAGCCACGCAAGTTGTTGTCATATACTTTCACGTATAATATAACTAACTTTAAAGGATTTATAATTTATAATTATAAATCCTTTAAAGTTAAGATTTATAAATTTTTATAAAGTTTTCCTTTTAAAAAAGAAAAAGAAGATTTTATATTTTATAGAAATAATAAAATGAGTTAAAATACTTAAAAAAAAAAAAAATTTACCTATTATACTCCACCATTAAAAAATGTAATTTATTGTTAATTGAATTTTACTTTTCAATAAATTAGTTAACTATCTTTAAATTAACACAATTTTTTCATATTTATCCTTACTTAATAGGGATTTTCATTTAAAAGTAAATATAAAATTAATTTATTTATTAAAAGAATTTATAAAAACACATTAATTACACATTAAAACATTAAAAGTGTCTTATATTTTTTAACATCTAACTTCTTTAAAAATGCTAAGTTATATGTGACTTTGTTTTCAAGATTAAAATCCTATTTTGACTCAAATACTTTTGCCTCCAAAAAAAGTCAAGTTTAGGAGAAAGCTTAAATACTTATTAGTCTTATATCCTTAAACTACTTGCTTCCAATTAAATTAGTATTTAAATTTTTTTAAAATATAAAAGTATTAATAACAAAAGTTAATTACAGAATAAATAATGAATTAAAAAAATACACATTTGATTTGAAAACAAGTAAGTGCCACAGATGTGCGTATGTGTGTGTGTTGTGCTAAGTACTTAATTTTTTTTCTTAGGCTTCCTATAACTAGCCCTTTTGAATTCCATTTTTCTATTTTCTCAAACGGTTTTGGTACTATTATTGATAGCACGTGGGATTTTTATTGCCTGATGCACTTGCAAGTCACTACAAGGAGAGGGAACACACACACACAACACTAACACAAACACCACCCCACACACTGAGGCACTCACAGGCCAACTTAATTAGTTGGATAAAAAATAGCCTCAAAAAAGAGACGTATGAAGCTGAGAGATACTCCCTCTGGTCCTATTTACAGCATAGAGAGAAGATTTTTTTATCTTATTTATAAGTTATTTTATT